AAAGAAACATCAAACGGAAGTACCTCATAAAATGATTTCAACGTCTTCACAAATTTGATCCTCTAACCTAACTTTTTTTGACAATTTTGGTCTGGCCGTCAAATTTTGCTGTTAACATGAATGGAATCGTCACGTGAGGCTCACGTGACATTCATTTGGCAGTAGAAAACTGAGTTATGTTCTTCAAAGTTATATTCCAGGATATTCGATTTCCCCTTGAATTTGTATGTACATGATACTGCAACATCTGGGTATGCTGAATTTATTCAAATCTCATATTATTGAAAAAGGTCCAAATCCTCTAATATTTGGATTTAGAAATTTCATTTTTGTGTCAAACAAGAACACAAAAAACAGTGTTGCAATATTTTGGATTTGGATAACAAAATTGAAGTTAGTTGCTCGTAGATTTGAGTTAGTTAAATACATGATCTCTCTTATTTCCTTCGATTAGGCTCATAAATTGAATTTGGGGGAAGGGTTTATGTTATAAATGAATCAAGGATTTTGGGGGGAGAAAAATACGGAACAACATCTTCAGATTGACAAATGGATGGTGGGTGTTACAGCTCTTTTTTTTTACTGCAGTGGACGTCACGTGAGGCGCACATGATGATTCCATCCAACTTAACAGCCGAATTTGACGGTCAAACCAAGATTGTCAAAAAGTGGTAAGTTTGAGAATCACATTTGTGGCGACAAATGTTTGAGAATAAAAATCGTTTTAGGTGATAAGTATAGGGACTAAAACTGTAATTATCCCTTCTTAAATGCTTTGTTTTGTATTCGTTTTCAAATTTAAACATAATATCTTTTTGGGTAAATTACGAAAAACCCATGAGGTAAATCCTAATTACAAAAATTCCATATTGTTTGCGTATTTACGAAATCCTCCCCTGACCATTGTTTCGTTTAAATTAACAGAAAATGTGCTTTCACTGTTTTATCCTTTTGTTATTTGAAAAACAATGAAAGAGTAGATTACGAGAAACCCTCTAAGGTAAAGTTTAGTTACAAAAATCTCCCCAATATTTGCTTAGTTACAAAAATCTCCATGAGGTATGTTGTTGTCCTACACACAGCACTACAAAAACTACAAAAAATATATTGACAACTACCCATATCCCTCATAAGCAAGAAGTAAAAGTGATAACCTTTCTGATCGCATTGGATTGCAATTTTTTTATGATTTATTTATTAAAAAAGGGGTTTCTGTGCATAAGTCCCTTACTAACTATTTTTATTATTCTA